CTTTAAGTCTGGGGCACACCAATAATCTAAAACATTTTTATAAAATACTCATTGATAAAGAATGTGCTTTCTTTCAAATGTGCTTCTAATCTCTTGTGGATTGACACTTTTAAAAATACAATCAAATTTAATATGGAGAGAAGAGATTATAAAAAATATGTGTATAGCTCCATGTTTTAAAATTATTAGATTTAACATACTTAAAACCACTTTGTAAAATTGTAATGATACTCCCCAAATACTGACTCTTAATTGTTGTATTTATTTCAATGAAATTATGTAACAAACATACAAAGAGTGTACTTTGAGAACACAGGCTATGTTTTTTAAATGTACCTTTATTTTTCATTCAACGAATATTCACTTCAGTTCTAATGGGTTCATGCACTAGGTTCTTAAGTTCATAAAAAATATATTCTAGTGTGTATCACAGTTTCAAGCAAATAAATTTGAATCTTAAATAAGTAATCACAGCTAACTAATTAATTCCGAATTATTTAATTTAATTTATTTGATTAATTTATTTTAATTAATTAAAAAGTAAAAAGAAGGTTTTAGTCTAAAGAGGAAATGCAGAAAACACTTATTTTGGTGGCTCTTTATTGATGCTTTTTTTTACTTATTGAAGAGTCAATCCTGTGGAGGATCAGAAGTCCAATTTTTTATACTTTAATTAATTTTAACTGATACATTAAATATTAAGAATCATATATTAATGGAATTCCTTATAGTGTTTCTATACAGGGTGTACATTGTATAATGTTTAAATCAAGGTAAATATATCTATGGCCTCAAATATTTATAATTTCTTATGTTTCATAGTTTTATTAGTGCATTATAGTTATACATAATAGTTGGTTCAATTTTAACATAATCATACATCTGTGGAACTTAATTTACTCTATTTGCCCCCCCTTTCCTTCCCATTTTTCCCTTCCTGCCCCATCTCACTTCCTCGACTCTATTAGTCTTCATTTCACTCATTTCTTTATTTTAAATTAGTGCTGTATATATGTGCATATATATATATATATATAGCACAATTTTAAAAATTTGTACTACATTTTCTCCCCTTTCCCATCCCTCTTCCCTCCCCTCAATTTCCTTTCTCTATGTCACTGGTCTTCCATCTGTCTTTAGAATATTTGGTCCCCCCCTTTTTCCCCTTACTTCGCTCTAGCCTCCATATATGAGAGAAAACATTCAATCCTTGGTTTTCTGAGTCTGGCTTCTTTGACTTGGCATGATGTTCTCCAGTTCCATCGATTTATCAACAAAGCCATAATTGCACTTTTTTTCCCAATGGCTGAGTAAAACTCTCTTGTATAGATAAACTGCATTTTCTTAATTTATTCGCCTACTGACAGGCACCTGGGGTTGGTCTCATAACTTGGCTACTGTGAGTTGTGCTGTTATAAACTTTGGTGTGCCTGTATCACTATATGATGCTGATTTTAGTTCCTTTGGATAAATACCAAGGAGTGTGAAAGCTGGGTGAATAAGAAGGTTTCATTCCTAGTTTTTGGAAGAATATCCATATTGCTTTTCAGAGTGGTTGTACTAAATTGCAGTTCCACCAACAATGTAATATTATACTTCTTTCTCATGCCTTCCCTGACATTTATTTTTATCGTATTTATTTTTATTTTTATTGTTTAATTGTTTTATTGATTGTTCCTAATAATTGCCATTCTGACTGGAGTGAGATGAAATCTTACTGTAGTTTTGATATGTATTTCGGTGATTGCTAGTGATGTTGAACATTTTTCCCCCTGTATTTGTTTATCATTTGTGGTTCTTATCTTGAGAAATGTCTGTTTAGTTCTTTTGCAGATTTATTGATTTGTTTAATTGTTTTGGGGTTTTGTTTTTGGTGTTAAGCTTTTTGAGTTCTTTATATATTCTAGATATTAATCCCCTGTCAAAGGATTAGCTGGCAAAGATTTATTTTCCCATTCTGTAGGCTCTCTTCAAGCTCTTTTTTTTTTTTTTCCAGTACGGGGGATTGAATTCAGGAGCCCTCAACCACGAGACACATCCTCAGCCCTATTTTGTATTTTATTTGAGACAGTGTCTCACAGAGTTGCTGAGTGTCTTATCATTGCTGAGGTTGGCTTTGAACTCCCAATCCTCCTGTCTCTGCCTCCTGAGCTGCTGGGATTATAGGCGTGCACTATTGTGCCTGGCTCTCTTCACACTCTTAATCATTTTCTTTGCTGTGCAGAAGCTTTCTAACTTGATAATCTCCCACTTAATGATTCTTGCTTATTTTTTGAACATTAGGAGTCTTTGTGATGATATTAGTTCCTCTGCCTATATGATGGAGTGCTGATCCTATGTGTGCTTCTAGCAGTAGGCAGGTGTCTAGTCTAATTCTTAAGTCTTTGGTATATTTTTATTCAAAATTTCTGCAAGGCAAGAGGGATCTACTTTTGTTCTTCTAAATATGGATATCCAGGTTTCCCAGCACCATTTGTTATAAAGTCCATTTTTTTAAATTTTAGATAGATAGATAGACAGTTTGGCACCTATGTTGAGTATTAGATGATTAAGTAAGTGGGTTTGTCTCTATGTCTCTATGCTTAATGGTGAAAATATTCAAAATCCTCTCCTCTAGCTCTTTGGAATGTAATGTTATTGTTATTTACAGCCACTCCACTGTAAAAGAGCACACAGAACTCTTACTACTATCTGTGACTTAGTACCTATTTTTCTCCCTGAATGAATTTGCTATTCTTGGTCAGTGTGAGGAGTGCCCAGTCATTCTAACTGGGTCCCAGCTGATTCTGTTGAACTCTGACCTATGGTGAAAATGTGTACATTGAATATACTAAATAAAACCCCTTGAGGCACTACAGCTGGCCCTTGGCTTTGGCATTCAACTTTAGTGTTCCTTTTCAGACTTACTCATGGACCCTACAACCTCTTGGCCAGCATGTATGGTCAACACCAGATTTCAGCTGTTGCCGCAAGATTGTCTAATAAAAACTAAGTTGCCAGTATTGTTTTATTGTGATTTGCAGAATGATCTTTGCATATCCCTGACAAACATGTATTTTTCTGTCTTATTGCTGAAAATTTTTTTACTACTTTTGTGATTTTTTTCCCTGCAGTCTATGCTTTCATTAAGAAAAAATGTTGTTTTCTATCTCCCTAATGTCATACACCTTAGGTCACATGTAAATGCCAAAATTGACCCTCCCTTGGACTTTATATGATTCTTTTGAGAAAAATTATGTTACTGGTTTGCTTCTTGGAATGGCTGATAGAAAATGGATTTTTTTTTTTATTATTTGCTTAATTGTTCTATCTTTTTGTGCATGTACCTCTATTATTGTGGACTCTGCTTACAAGTTGGGCAAGTGGCCTAATGACATGTTGCCTACACAATGCTAAAACCCCTTGCACACTCAGGATATATCATGGAAGCAGGGATATGTGATATAGTAAGAAAATGCCTATAGCCATCTTGAGAGGAATCCAGGACGATGGCACATGAACAACTAGATCTGTTTTGTCCAGATAGTTTCCTATCATACTGTGAATAACCAAAGCCATCAGAGTGATATGTGATGGTTTCTACGCAGATCTTGGCACCATCAGCACCAGGAATGTGCCTGATATCCACAATATTCTTTCAAGACAACCCAGGTTGGGGCTGGGGTTGTGGCTCAGTGATAGAGCACTTGCCTAGCACTCCTGAAACACTGGGTTTGATCCTCTGCAGCACATAAAAATATAAATAAATAAAATAAAGGTGTTGTGTCCATCTACAACTAAAAAGAAAAAAGATAACCCACTGAATCTGGTTAAATTATGAGTATCCACCTGATCTTTCTTCCACCAGGACCATGCTTCTGCTAGTAAATCCCCAGAAAATTGCATTTTGTGTAATTTTCCATCTGTCTGATACTTTCATTGGTCTTATGGCACTTTAGGGACAGTTCTTATACAATGGGACCCGATTGTTCTGAAACACCAAGCCAGGTTCTTAAAATGGTGTTTTTCTGGAAGTGTTATGAAATGATAATCTAGCTATTTTTGAAAGCTTATTATCTTTCTTAAAATGTAGTTTATTTATCATTTCTGTACTGATTTAATGCAGATAGCTAGGGAGAAATGTATGTTCCTTTCTTGTTTCCAATTATTTCTGCTCCTTATCTTTAATAGCTCTGTTCTCTATTCATCTTTTTGATGACTTGTAATTTCAATGGCTAAGCAGTACCACTTAGACACATTTTCGTTGTAACATCAGTTGGACTTAAATTACTCATGTCTGTATGAGGCTGAATAACCTTTAAAAATGTTTACCAGAGTTAAGTTTTCACAGGATTAATGCAGTTGAGATCTTGCCACCCTCTAATTCTGAAGCAAATGCTTTTGTTTCAGTACAATAGATTAATTCAACTAAGTTTTGATGTGATATTTCAGGCTTAGACAATTTAGAGTATAACTCTAAGTTTTAAAAAATAGTAGGCTGGTCCTGTTTCTATTATCATTGCCTTTTACTATATAACACCAAAAGAAAATAATATTACATTTCAGAGGAGCATGCCTGTTATTTGATTAGTGTTGGTGAGTGGTTCCAGAAATAATAGTTCATTTTTTCTATTGCTAGATCAATGGAATAAAAGTAATGTGTACAATGGAAAATGATAATGTAATTCAGAAAAGGGTAGTCTTATGAAAACCTGAGTTTAGAAAGCTGAAAATTGTATATTGTGTTCCTTGGCTTATTTAAATTTTGCTATGATTCTGCAGAATCATGAATAGGTAAACTTAAAAGATCGAGATGTGTTTACATGCCATAGACTATGGCATAATATGAACCAGTGCTCACAAACTATGTGGCTGGGCCAGTGACTTCTCCCTTCTTAGAGTTTGTGACTCTAGCTCTTAGGTTGTGATATTCGCACTAGAGGGAAAGTAGAAGTCAAGTGTCAGTAAATCTTAAGGCTATGAATCATCAGATGTAGCAGATAAGATACAGGTTGAAAAAATGGGATACCACTGCCATTCTTATTTAATATTGAGCATTTGTCCGGATATTCCAGCAAGACATGTTCACTTCAGGGTCCGGAGTAAGACTTTACTTGCTAGTTCAAGCTGCAAGATTTCTGTAGGAACTCTACTTCTCAAATGATGCTCCTCCCTGCTCAACCCTTTCCCCTTTTGAGGATGGTTAGACCAACAACTTGCCTTGTGTCTCCTTTCTACACACACAGGTTACATGTTGGAATGTTGTCTCCATTTCCTGACTTTGCACAGTGGATCTTGCCACCATTGGCAGCCCTAGGAGAGCAAATGAGATGCAAAGATGAGGGAACCTCACTCAATACCAATGCAAAAATTCCTACTATTATTATTTACCAAAACTGTTCTTTTATGGATGCAACTTTTTAAAATTTATATTCTAAAATTTTATATTATTTTAAAAGTCCCAAATAGGTAAAAAGTAATTTACACTTTTCATATACTCTTCATTTTCCTCTCTCATTGATAAAATCTAATTATATAGGTATAGTACATTGTCACACCAGGACATTGATTATTAACAAGTACAAACTCAGTAACAGATCTTGTTCAGATTTCACCCAGTTTTTGCATTCACTGTTCAGATGTTTAGTTCTATGAACATTCATCAAACATGTATATTTGAGTAGCCAACACCACAATTTGAATGCAGAATTCTTGGACCACTACTGACAAGCACCTTCATATAACCCCTTAATAGTAATTCCTTTCCAGGCCTAACCTAGCAAGCAAGCAATAGTCTCCTCTTCATTATTACAATGCTGTCACTTCAAGAGTTTCATATGAGTAAGATTGATATATTTCATTCAGTGTAATGCCTCTGAGTTCCATCCAAGTTGGAACTGAAGAAATATTAAAGTTTGTGTCAATAGATCATTCTTTATTATTGTAAGGTAGTATTCCATGGTATAAATAGAGCATAGTTTGTTTACTCCTTCATCTATTGAAGGGCCTAAGTTTCTTCCAGTGAGCATCTATTACAAATAAAATGGCTATAGATGTTTATGTACAGGTCTTTGTATGAAAATATTTATGCAGAATAAATGCTAAAGAGAACATTGACTAAGTCTTTCAGTAAGCCTAGAGTTAATTTCATTAGACAAGTAGTGTTTTGCAAGCTGAAGTAGTATAATTTCTAGCCTTTCTACAACCCCACCAGATTTTAGGGTGGTCAATATGTTTTACTTTAGCCATTTTAATGTTTTATAGTTTGTCACTGCACCTTTAATTTGTGTTTCTTAATGGTTAATAACATTGAAGAACTCCTGTGCATATTTTCCATCAACTTATTCTTTTTTGGGAACTGACACCCCAAGTCTCTTGCCCAGCTTCTCATTTGGATTTGTTTCTCACCATTGAATTTAGAGTTCTTCTTGGATTTTGAATACAAGTGCTTGGTTCTATATGTGGTATGAAGCTTTGTGTTCCAGCCTTTGGCTTGTTGTCTGATTCATTAGGGTCAGGTATAAAGAAACAGATTATTTTGGTGAAGTACAATATATTCATTTTTTTTTCTTTTATAGATTGTATTGATGATGACATATCTAAGGACACTTTTTGAAATCATTAAGCACAAACATAATTTCCTCTATTTAATTTTAAACACTTCAGCGCTACATATATTAATTTCAAAGGTCTATCACGTTTTGAGAATTGCTAGATCTGCAGAAACTTGATTATTTCTAAGCATTTTAAAAATATATGTTATAAAGGAACAGAAACTTCTTAGTGATGGAAGTAAAGGCAAAAGCATTTTAAAAATATATGTTATAAAGGAACAGAAACTTCTTAGTGATGGAAGTAAAGGCAAGTTTCATTTAGCTTTGCCCAAACAAAGTTTAAATTCAAACCTGATAATCTTGTTTTTTTTTTCCTCCATGAATTGTGAATGTAGAATTTGAGTTATTGTTAAGCCAACACTTTTTAAGATTGCAGACTACTCATATAACCAACTATATAATTCGAAGAGTGTGGGTAAACATACATAAATGCATTTCAAGAAAAACTATGACATGTTGTGTTTATAAGTTCTATGGTAGTATAATTATAGACTTACTTCTACAGAATTAATTTGCTTCCTGCACTAAGAAAAGTTGAAACTTAAAAGAATATAGTTTCCTTATCAAATGCAATTTAAATCTTATTTGATTTTTTTCATACTGCCACTATCTTACAAAATTATCATCTAGTGCCACTGACTGTAAAGGCTAAACGATTTAACTACTTCTTGCCAAAATTACAAAAAAAAGAAATTAATTAATTAATCACATTTTATGTATTTCTTCATTCTATTTATGATTCAAACTGGATTTTTAAACTTAAATTGCATAATATTTACTTTAGAAATTCAATGGCCAGCGATAAAAATGGAACTGAAATTACCAAGCACTTTTATCTATCAATTTATTTATTTACTTTTAGGATCAGGAATTGACCCTAGCAGCGCTTAGCCACTGAACCAAATCCCCTTTCTTTTCTTTTATTTTTATTTTTTAATTTTGAGACAGTGCATTGCAAAAATTTTAAGGCTGGTTTTGAAATTGTGATCCTCCTTCCTCAGTCTCCCAAGCTTTTGGGATTACAGGAATGCACCACTGTGTTCAAGCCTAAGTTTTTATTCTGAAAAAGACTGAATCTCTCTCTAAATGCCCTACACAGAGAGACCCAATCACTTTTATTCTTTATAATGGCCTCTAAGTTTGGATATACTTTTTTTTTTTTAATGAGGCAAATAATTTCCAGAGAAATCGAACAAATTGCTAAACAGTGTCAGTAAGTGTATCACCAATGTTTTAAACAAGGTTTGTGTTAACCTTGGCTCATCCTCTATTTAAAATATTAGATCATTTCAGAAATCTAGTTGAGGTAGTAGATTGAAATGATAAAATCTCTATTTATGCTAGATTAGTTAAGAAAATGAAAGATGAAACATCTTTTTCTGTTGATAAGTTTGTTCTACATTCTTTATTTTATTAGTTAATGAAAATTATAGTTGAGAACTGGTGTTTTATTATATGAAAAAAAATAGCTCCTACAAACAAATAATTAACACATAGTTCAAGAACAGTTGAGGGGTGCTGGGCAGGTGGCACACCCCTGTAATCCCAGTGGCTCCGAAGGCTGAGGCTGGAGGATCACAAGTTCAAAGCCATCATTAGCAATTTAGCATGACCTTAAGCATTATAAGGAGAACCTGTCTCAAAATTAAAAATAAAATAAAATAAAATAAAAACTGGCTGAAGAATGTTGCCCAATGGTTAAGTTACCCCTGGGTTCAATCCCAGGTACAAAAAAAAAATGATGAGCACACACTCATATAATAAAAACTGAATAAGCACGTGAAATATGTTTAACACTGTCAATTTAATGCCAGATTCGTGGGACCCAATATACCTCCAGGAGACGAATCCAATGCAATCACACTAGATTCTTTATTGCAAGCTCGAGCCTGGACTCACAACCGTTTCCAAAGCAGCAGTCCCAGGGAGTGAGTCTGTCCTTTGTTCAGTGAGATTTTATAGGTTGTCGGGGGATACTCTATGTGTCACAACATCACACAGCAAATAATTTCACATCACGGAAAGTCAAACAACAACTCTTAACATTGATTAGCACATTCACTAGCAGGAACAAGTTGGGTAGGAGTGATTGGTTAGTACAAGTGGGAGATTCCTTTGAACTGATTGGTTTAAGCCACAAGGGGTATATGTGCTAAACTACATGGTTTCCCAACATGTTATCAACCACCATAAACTACTGGGGGTCATCTGGCATCCCAGGTATTTTCCCTGTCTCATGTTGATTGGAGGTTGCTAGGAGGTTGCTATGGGTCCTCACCTAGCCTGACTGAGTCAGGGACACCTGGCGCTGCAGATCTCTCCTGTTATTTATAGACAAACAACTCAGCAGGGTGGGTACTTAGGAGTGCTCTGTGGGTTTTTCCCAGGACAAAGGTCACACCCCCTTCCTTAGGACAGGCCTTGAGGTAGAAGCTGGTTTCTCAAAAATGGAGTCACATCAGTTTCTCATAATCATTAAGAAAATGACAATTAAAACCACCATGAGATAGTGCTTTCTAGAAAAACCATAGATTATAAAAATTGGCTAAAACAAGTTTAATGGAATGTGGAACTAGAACTTTCATATTTTACTGGGGAGAATATGACTTTTGACAACCACCATGGAAAATGATTTGGCTAATTCTTAATAGAATTACCACTACATGAACCAGCAATTCTACTTACAATGAAATATCAAACCATACATCCATGTGAAGCCTTATTTGCCTTGTTTTCCTAAGAATTTTATTCATTATAATTCAGAACTGGCAACCATCTATATACCCATCAAATACAGAATGGATAAGCACAGTTTGACATATGCATACAGTGAAATAATACTAAACAATGAAAAAGAGGAAAGGATTTATATTTGGAGGACATAGATTAATTGCTAAAAACACTGAGCAATCAAAACTATCCAGAGAGAACACATGATCTGTTAGCTCATGTTATGGACGAACATCCAGCATGGAACCACACAGGAATTTAGGGAAAAGGCCAAATCATTCAATACCATGCTTGTGGTAAGGGCTATCCCATTGTATACTTTTGTCAGAGTGCTTTAATCTGCATACTAAAAATGAGTGAATTTTATTTTACAAAGAAAAGAAAATTAGTTCTCAATAACATTGTTTTAAAATTTGTACACCAAATATATATATATATATATATATATACATATATATATATATATATATATATATATATATATATATATATATTTTTTTTTTTTTTTTTTAAAGGAACTGATACCCTTTATGGTAGTTGGAAGGACAGTAGGTAATGTTGTAAGTCTTTGGAGCAAAGGTGACAGTCAAGTGCACACTTAATGACAGCAAAAGGAGGATGAAGCACAGAAGGAAATGCAGTTCTTTCTTGACAGATTATACACTAGAGCTTCCTTCCAAGAACAAAGATATAGAGAAGAATGGCTCAAAAATAATAATGGGCAAATTGGAATATGCAAAAGTCAGAGAGTCTTGACCTTCCCTGTGAACACACCGCTTCCCTAGGAAGAAATTGAACAATTGAGCTGTAGCAAAACAAAGTATAAAAGAAACTCTCCAGGCTCTCAGATTGAAATACTTGCTCTATGAGGGTCCTGTAAGAAGGGGACTAGCCTCTCTTTGATTCATTGAGTTTTTACAAATTAAATTAAAAAATAAAAACTGAGGCTGCAAGAGCATGCTATATAGCGCCCTCTACTGAATCTATGAATCTTCTAGCATTGTGCCAGAGCTCTTCCACCCTAAAGGTATTGTACAATGTAAGGACATTTTCACTTCACTAATGAGGAAAGTAAATACGGTGTTAACAAATATTAAATTATTTGAATTATATTCACAAAGAAATTATAATAAAATTATTTATTCTCTAATATTTTCTAAACCACACACTAATTTTATTAAACAAAGATTCAAAAACTATTAAATATATTGGAATAAGGGTATTAATTATGCCAATACTTACCTAAATTAAATAGGGAATTATCTTTAGTCATACCACAGGTGTTATTAATGACAGGGTAAAGTGAAAGTTTTTGCAAGTATGAAATATTAAAAAGCCTACAGATTTTTCATGATTATATTAAGAAAACAAATTATTTTCCTAAAGATTAATCTATCTTATTATGGCTCTCAGTTTTCATTGGTAAGAAATACAAACTAGAAAACGATGAGAAGATAAAAGAATAATGTAGAATATGAAGAGAAAGATCACTATGAAAAGAAAAAAAGAAATAAACAGCCAACAAATCAACAGAAACATAAGAAGACCAGCCAAGTGTGTTGAAGTAAGTCAGACTAAATAAAAGAGTGTTCTTCACATGCAAATAATTATTACACAAGTCATATCTCTGTTGAAGGTGGGAGTGGTGGAGAACTAGAGCGAGGGGGAGAGGGGGAGGGAGATGGAGTGTTATTAATAGAGAATGGGGAAAAAAATGAGACTCAGAATGCAAGCCTGGCCAGAGATGATGGAAGTATCTGGAATTCTACAACAAATGCTATGAAAATAGAGATAGATCCACTGGTAAGTTCTCAAGAAAAAAGAACAATATTATCAAATGTGTTGCCATCAAGCCTGGGAAGACGGAGAGTAACATGAAAAGTTATCTCAGGATGAGGGTAGGAGACAGATGGAGCAGATAAAAGATTTGAAACTTGGCTCAGTGAGAAAGTGTTTTTTTTTTTTTCTTTTTCCTTTATAAAAGCTGAATACTATTTCAAAAATATTCTGAATTCAGACTTTCAGGGAACTTGGATGAAAACCTGCTGAGGAAATAAAGCTGTCAAGAATGGAAAAAAACGTTGATCCATGGAAAAAAGCATTTCATGGCTTATAAAAGAAAGTGAGAGCAGCGCATGAAGTCTTCTGTCTCTAAAGCTACACTTAATAAACATCCTTCAGAATGTTAGCAAATTAAATTACATAACTGTCATACACACATGGAACAAGAGGCAGGATAGAGCACTGACCGGCTCCCCTTCTCTTGGTGTTCCTACTCCATGGGAAATGTAACATTGTATTGCTCATTGAGGTCTGGGGTGGGTTGCACCTCAAGGTTGTCTTGAATCCTCAAAACTTATTTGGGTCTCAAGATTCTTCCAATACTTTGCTCTCTCTATTCTGTAAGTCCAACAATTTATAGAAAATACTTGAGAACAAGTTTTAGAACAGCTACCATAATTGTTGGAAGAATAAGTTAGTTGAGAAATATGCTAAACTGATCATTGGCAATATTTCCTTGAATAAACACTTCCATTGGTAGATTTAATCAGTGCTTTTGTTATGAGTTTACCCAAGTCTTACATCTTTACCAATCACCTTCTGGATTTCTTATACTAGAGCCTACTTTTCTGTTAGAGTCTGTAAACAAGTCAAAATAACACCTGGCATTTTGCCAGGGGAATGTTAGAGTTCATAAACAAGTCTGGATGGTGCCTGGCAAAATGCCAGAGGGAGTGGTTTGAGAAGTAACAAAAACAAGCCATTAAGTGTGGAGATTCCTTATTGGTTGACTGATGTATCTAGTTTATGCTAATTAGATAAGCTGTGTGGAATGTATAAATACTGCTCCTGTCCTGCAATAAAGGGCTCCCACTCCTGCTGTATCAATCTACACAAGTTATTCGTCACCCCCCAGTTATTTTGCTGCAGCCAGCCGGACTGTGGCACTTTTCTACATTTTTCCTGACAGATGAGCTGCCCAGAGTCCAAAGATCTAAAGAGAGCATCATGGTGACCTATGGCAAGTGGAGCTGTGTAGGAAGAGATAAGTAGTAAGGGGGATCTTATATACAAAGTTTCATATCATCATTCTTTTCATTTTTGAAGACTCATATGGTTGTTCTCCAACTAACATAAGCATCTCTTTAATGTGTAGTTACATTCCCTATCAAGTATTGCCTATTTTATATCATGATTCAAAACATGTTCATACATGGTTCTTTGTATGCATTTGTGATTATGTCTCTAGAATATTTAGTTGTAGAAATATTTCTAACCTCCTACAGATGTCATTTAATTTCCAAATGTTATACATATTTGGATTCCACTAGAGAATGCATGAGCAAATAATACCCCAGCCTTTCCACTGACACATTATAGGATATTTGGATCTATATTTTTGTTTTAATGTTTATCTCCCTGGCCATTACTTAGACAAAGCATCAGCACCTCTGATTATTTCCAGCACTCTTTTATGTATTCTGAAAATATCCTTTATACATTGTATGGACCATGAACATTTTTCCCACTCTGTAATTTTTGTTAATTTTTGTAGGACATTTTATCTCACACAAAGTCATTCTGGGGCAAAGGAAAGTAAATCCTGGTTTATTAGCTTTACTTTTATGCAACTTACTTCTGTAAAAATATTTCTCTTTATGATTTTGTGAAATTTTCATTTTGGTTTAAAAATGTCCAATCATTAAAAAAAAGAAAGAAAGAAAAGATATACATTTAGATATACTTTTCCATGTGCTCTGGATTTATCAAAAAATAAGAAGACAGAGGCTGGGGTTGTGGCTCAGCAGTAGAGCGCTCACCTAGCATGTGTGAGACCCTGAGTTCCATCCTTAGCACCACATAAAAATAAATGAATGAAATAAAGGTATTGTGTTCAACTACAAGGAATAAAAGAAATATTTTTTAAAAAGAGAGTTTTAAACCTACGGACTTATATAATATGGCAGGTAAATAGTGGACTACCAAAGATTTGTACTTACTATTCCCAGGAACGCTTGACTTTTTACCATAAATACAAAAGGGCTTTTGCACAAGTGATGAAATTAATGCTCTTGACCATCACAGATATGCTGGATTATCCAGATAGGTGCAGTAGGGTCACAAAGGTCTAATTGAAAGAGGAGAAAACAAAGTGAAAAGCAGAAAGGGACATGTAGCAGTGTCACTGTGAAAGCAGTTGAAGGGATAGGATTGTTGGGTTAGAAGATCGGATAGGGCCATGAGCCCAGGAATGCTGACTGTGCTACAACCTGGCGAATCAATAAAGCAAAATCTCCCATGGAGCCTCCAGAAGGAATCTAGCCCAGGTGACAGTGCTAATACAGTGAGATCTATTCACACTGCTGAACTTGTAACCTGTCAGTGAAAAAACTGTCAGTGAAATAACTCACAATTTTGTGATGGTGCATTAAGCCTTGATTTTTTGGTGATTTTTGTTTCAATGTCCTTGACAATTTTAGTATTAGTTTAGCAATATAATTTACATGTTACACTAATAGAAAACAATGTTCACACAAATAGAAAATGAATAAGAAATGAATAGGAAACTAATACATATAGGAAGGATAATAAATACTTAATACATATGTGGTCAAGGAAGAAGAAGAACATGGGTAACCTGATATGGTGGGCTATCAATAGAGTGGTCAGTAGGTATATGCTCATGCATGAAAGGAGAAAGGGCTTTTGTGGATAACTAGTAGCAATATTGTTATATTAACTCTTCAATAGAGCAATGTCATAAAAAATGATCTAAGGCAAAAAGCAAAAAATAGGAGAATTTTAATATTAAACTAGGATACTGTGTGTGTTCCAATAGGAGATTAAAATGATTGTGAATACTTGATAATGTAACAATCTGATTTCCTTTGGAAACAGAAGCATGAAAAATACATAAACAGCTGACAAATTCAATGCATTGGTTTGATAAAGTATGTCATAAACAAAAATAACCATGACAGACTATGGGAAAATATTTTCAATATAGGTTACCTTTAAAACATTTTATCTACAAAAAGTCAATGTGCCTATAAATAGGAATGAAAATTAAGCAAAGGAAAGAAAAATAAACCAAGAAGGAAGAATACGTTTTGGATGAATGATATAATTTTATTGAAGGATTAGAACTGATTAATAAATGTACAAAAAATTGGTCAACCCCTTGTTTGTTCTTTGGTCCAAAACTAATCATTAATCTATTTTCAATATTGGTTTAGGTTGAAAGAAGGGAAGTTCATATTCTGCCCAATAATAAATTCTTAGTATCTTTATTTAGACAGATGCTAGAGGATACAAGTGCAGATGATATTACTTCCATAAATTTTCATTACTTGGAATCTGTGCAGTTTTAGAAGATAAAACTAAGCTAAATTACTTATGATTTAAAAAGTAAATAATACCTAAAGTGTAATCTTCAGAATTAAATGAAAAAGATGAATTTCATGTTTATCAAATTGCTAAGAAATCAGTCTGATCCCAGTAATGTTTTTCTTGCATTTGTAATTTTCTTTTATAGGAAGGGAGAACTAGATGTATATTTGAAAGTTGTTTGGTAAGCCACATTTAAATTTTATGAATAGACGTTTTCATTGTAGAATATTTTTGTTGACAAAATAAACAATTGAACTCAGCACTGTTGAATTACTTCATCTCGAATTCCATTTTTCTTGACACACTACCAGTTCTCAGAGAACAAGAATATTGCCCAGTTACGTCATTTCTAGCTGAGATTCTAAGAGATATGTAAGTAAGTTCTTTCAAAAAATAAATTTGATTGTTATAAAGTTCTGGATATTAAGGTAGGCTAAACTCTTTGGCTTTATGAAAAGTCTTTGACTTACTATTTTCTGAAAGATGTTATTCATAATGTAAATGTGAATCCTATTTAAATTATTTCGTATCAAAACATTTTCTTCATAAATGTATGTCAGATCCTTTATTATTGAAATAAAGAAAAGAAGTAAAAGCTGAAAACATTCATGTGTTACAATATTAGTTCAAAGAATTAAAAGTTCTGAATATGTAGTGCTTTATATCTAATCCTCTGATAATTTGATCTTTAAAAAATGTTGAATTCATTTTGCCTTAATATAGAGTCTGCCTATTGGTGCTAGCTATTTCTTTTATTAGAAACTCCTAGTCTATGTTGCTTTGAAATCCCTCACCTGGTCACTGGGGAGTCCTGTTATCTTGTCATCTGGCTAAACTTTCAATGTCATTGTGTTCCTGCAGTATGTCTAATCTCATCTCAGAAGCATCCCTTATCTTTTAACCTTAGTGGGTCTTTATTTAACTTGTTTTCTTTTCTGAAGCTGCACCTTGGGTCTAATGTCGACCACTATTTTGCTGTAATCACTTCTCTATCATTTTTCTGCATCAGTGCTGCAGAACTGATCAATGTTCCAATCCCTGCCTCCCAAGACTAATTATCTTACCATTATCTAAATTGAATTAAATTTTCTATCACTTAGCACCACAAACTAAAGAGATAAATATTGTGAAATAGTCATGATTACTAGTGCAAAAAATGGAGATAAAACAAATTTCATAATTAAAATGTGGCATAGATGATACACAGACAATACTACTAAATAAGCAAAAAAAAAATACTTAATGATTCTGTTTAAGTAGCATTTTTGCATCTCTTGATGATTTCTTCCTAAAGGGTAACCTGCAAATGTAGGCACTATAAATCATTGCCCAAATTTTACACAAAATATTATTAGAGCTACTGATATTGTGCATCTATCACACCCCTCAGAATACTATGGTGCAAATGTTTGTCCTGAAAAACACCTATCTCTATTTGACCCTCTGCATTGTGGAAGAGTCCATGTTCTCCTATGCTCAACTCCATTGACTTAACCTTTCATACTCAGTCAATAACTGTCAATTTGCTATATATGGAGTATTTGTGAGGAATCACTTGAGAAATTCATCTACATTTATTCGTCTGGTTTTAACACCATACCAATATTCCAAAAGTTGATTCAATAGATGATCTAGAATGTGGCTTGAGAACATGTACCTGAAAGAATCCCAGGGTGTTTATCATATACTTTGATATTGAGAGCCATCAATTCACTCATCAATTCACTTTATTAAAAGAGAGAGTAGTTTTCAAAACACAAAATGTTGTGGTAGGTTTCAACAGTAGTCTTCCTATTAGGTTAATGTATTTTGTTGTTTGTTTGCTTGGCTTGATATCTTAATCCAAAAATAAATAGAATTTAGATGTTAGTATCATTTAATAAATATTCTAAGGATAGTCATATAGAATCACATGGTCTCCTAGTTTGTGAGGTATACTTAAAGAAGTACTGGGCAGCAGGATGCAGGGCAGTTCTGAGTGACATCTGCTCTTCCTCTCTGCATGGTGCATTATCAGAAACTCTACACGCATCAAGTTAAGTTGGCTTAAAGATTAGGTTCTCTAATCTTAACTGAACAAATATTTTTAAAGTGTGAACTTAACTTTGTATTCCTGCAAAGAAAGCTGCAATAAAATATAACAACAAATATTTCAGATTATACTACATATAAAAAATAGCAAGGCCAATGTTTCTTATTGTACAACTACAATAAACAGAAAATAATAACCCAACAGCAGTATTTCAGAAAGAAAATGAAATGTCTTCTCATGGTTCTTTGTCAATAATGGAAAACAAAGTCCACATACCATGAAATGTTTTCTCTTACTGAAGCAGTAAAATTAGAGTATTACACAGAAAACAAAACGGAGAGAAATAAAAATGTGTTCTTTTGTTAGTATGTACCATCAACAAGTTCTAGACTCTATTATTGATGATGTAAAGGAATAAGTTTAGAAGAATTACACACTCTAGGGGTGTACTACATATTTGCATGACAGTCTAGATAGTTTTTATGCTTCTTCCAGATTTTGTGTGAGCTACCAAAAAAAAAAAAGCACTGGAAACTTTGTGTCTTTTAAAACAAATACCTTTAAAATGTTTAAGGGAAATGGAAGAAGTTGAATGTTCTTTTGTTCTTTGTTAAGGGTACAAAGATTCTACTGTGCTTTAGATTAATTTGTAGTATTCTTTTGATAAAAGTGATTTTTCATCTTGGAAGCAGAATCAGAAGTGCACATAGTGTACATGATGAAGTCATGTCACTAATTACACAAAACAGTGTCAGTAGAACAAATAGTGGAATTGACTAATATTTTATAAGGAGATGACACAGATAATAGCTGGGGAAATCTGTTGAACCATAGGCAGAAGTTGCGCTGATTATCTCGTGGCAATGTTAGAATATTTGAAAAATAAAATACAAAACAATTTTAACTTTTTTCTGCATAGCTAAAAGTATTCCCTATTTGTTGAATCATTTTTCATCACAAATATATTTTAAGAGTATATTACTTAAAAGATACTTTGGAAACAAGAAAAAATCTATAGATACCACTAATGAAAAAGTCGTACTTTGAAAATAATGCTTTTGAAAGAAATTTCAGTTAATTGAAAACATTTTGAGGTATGAATATTTTCCATATTTTAAGAATGTCATCTCCTAAGATAGTTTGTATGACTTAAAGCAATATTTTTAGATATCTACTCTTTATAATTTTGCAGATTTATTCTAATTTATTTAAAATATTCAAAAGTGAAAAGTTATAATTAGCTTTGAGGACACTTGTTATTAATAGAAAGTTTACATATATTCAAAGTAATTTACAAAGATTTTTTCAAATAAGACAGAATTTTCTCCTCTTAATTTTAAGAAGTTATTACGTACTTGAGCATAAAGATTGACAAAGTAATTCTTTAAGTTCATTATATCTACATATCTTTGTGTAGGTTCTAATAAAACCAAGTATCAAACTATTGAAAACAAAATTTTCAAATTTAAAAATTTATTATTTCAAGATGTTAATTCAGAATTTTCAGAAAATACAAATGAAATGCTAGATAAAATGTTAAACTATGTAAAATTTTCAGCAAAAACCCAAAAGTTTTATAAATACATAAAAATAAAATATTAATTTAGAAAACTACTTATTTTTACTCAGTATTACCCATTTTGATTTTATATTTTAGTACATAATAATTATATATATATGTCTGTATATATGTGCATATATT